GCTGTCAGTCTGTTCTCTGTATATGAGTCTGTTTCTATTTTGTTTGTCAGCTTATTTTGTTCATTAGATCCCACATATAAGTGAAATCATATGGTATTTGTCTGTCTCTGACTGGCTTATTTCACTTAGCGTAATACCCTCTAGGTCCATTCATGCCGAAAAGACATATTCTTAATCCCCAAATTCAGAGTCACTGNCTGTATATGAGTCTGTTTCTATTTTGTTTGTCAGCTTATTTTGTTCATTAGATCCCACATATAAATGAAATCATATGGTATTTGTCTTTCTCTGACTGGCTTATTTCACTTAGTGTAATACCCTCTAGGTCCATCCATGCCGAAAAGACATATTCTTAATCCCCAAATTCAGAGTCACTGCTGCTAATACTGCAGAAAGTATCATCCACATACCGGGTGTCACACTTCTTCATAAATTACTTTTCCCAATTAACAATCTACTTGTCCTTTCCCCAGGCATTAAATATTCTACAATATCATAGCTGCAAAAAAAAAAATTCACTGGATAGATACACTATAATTTTATTCACTACACCGTATTCTTGGACTTTGAGATGTTTCCCAANAATTAACAATCTACTTGTCCTTTCCCCAGGTATTAAATATTCTACAATATCATAGCTGCAAAAAAAAAAATTCACTGGATACACTATAATTTTATTCACTACTCCTTATTCTTGGACTTTGAGATGTTTCCCAGCTATTAATATCTACTATTATTTTTTAAAAGTGCTAGGAGAAATACTTGCAAATAAATATTCTTGGGTACAATTTTTAGGAAAAGGAGTATTTTTTAGGTTGCATATGCACTTTTCCAAATTCTCTCTGAAGAGACTGTGCTGATTCATATTCTTACCAGAGCGTGGAAACGTAGGTGTTTTGTCACATCCTCGCCAACATTAAGCATTAACTGTAACCCAGCTTTGCCAATTTAACAAGCTTAGAAGATTAACTTGGGGTCAAGCTTTGCTCCTCAAATAGTCTCAGACCACGCTTCCCTGACACACAAAGTTTTTATTGAGGAATTTTATTTTAATGTTCTTGTCCATTTATTTCCCAGGTTTCTTTTATTTTGATTATATTGTGAATCAGTCATTACTGTTGCTTTCCTTAATCTTGTCTCTTGTATATTTTTAGGAATTATAAAATTTTTCTGGCATGTGATAACTCTCTTCAAATAATTTTAGGAATATGTATTCTCCCTATTTGAAAAAAAAATTCCTTCAGCCATTTAAGTAGGAATCAGAAGAGTAGCAGAAAAGGCTGTGAAAATTACATGTATACACACACACACACACAGACTTTCAAGGGGTTACTTATCTGAAAAGGGTCTTGGTTACGGTTAGCAGATAAAATACTGAACCCAGTTAAATTTGAATCTCAGATACACAAAGGATTTTTTTTAGTTTGAGTTTGCCATAAATATTGCACAAGACATATAGACACTAAAAAAGATCGTTAATCTGAAATTTAAACTTCACTGGCCCATTCTTATTTTTATTTGCTAAATCTAGCAAGCCTTAAACTGATCTTAGGTCCTAAAATGCAGTGGCATAGTTGCTAAGAAAGAAGGGTGGGACAGAATGCTACTTTGGCCATGATTAAACACTGTCACTTGAAAGACCATGTTTTGTTTTGTTGTTTTGTTTTGTTTTGTTTGTTTTGTTGCATGTGCATCGAGCGAGGCGGGACGCCAGCTGCCCTGGGGTTTGGCCTCCTACCTGCTCCCCAGAGCCCGGTGCACTGCCCCTGCAGCGTGGGGCACGTCCCCATCAAGCAGTAGCCCTTCTCATTCTGGCAAGGGAAGCCATTGACCTGGAATCGATCATCAGGGCAAGTGCCAGATTTACCGTCACACATTTCCAGCAGGTCACACTCATCTTTTGCTGGTCTGCACACTGTACCAGCCTTTTTAAACTGCAAGAGGAAAAATGGAGAGAAGGCTTTTTCCACCCGACTTACCAACTATTTCAAATTAAAGCCAAATAATATTTTCCCTTTGGCCCTTTATTGCCAAGGTAGTGAGGAGCATCATTCTATTCCAGTTTACATTTACATCATATAAGCTAAAGCCACCTCCTATTATGTCATTTCTATTGACTTTGGCCAATGACCTAATTCGTCAAGTAACCAGTATTTCTGGATTTGTAGTGGAAACATTATAGAAATATCAATGAGAAAAATACAGAAGAAAACCAATCAATATCCCAGATGCAAAGAAGGAAGGTATTTCTGGCTTTGTTGAATGCATCTTTGTCAAGACTTTCAAGGAGATTTCAGTCTGTAACTTCAGGTTTATTGGTGACGTGGATCTTCCGCATTAAGGGAGGTTAAGTTTACAAGCACCAGGTCGGGTGCTCTGAGCCTTTCCCAGGCATCATGTTTCTGAATTCTTAGTTCCTCTTATTGTGTGTTCAGATATTTCTTTTCAACCCACTTCTTGTGGAATAATTTATAATGAGAGAGAAATACCCAAATATTCATTTGATATATTAATTCTATTGCAATCTACTACTGCAAATCTTGCTCTTATTTCCTTAGAGAAACCTCAGTAAAACAGTTCTGCCTTCTGTTCGAAGGTGAAGAGGCCTGTGTGGACACTGGAAGCATATCTTTCCCTGAAGTGAGCAGGAGGCTCTCAGGTCACCAAAACACTTTCGATATCTTAATGCTGGTGACAGAATAAAATACGAATTTAAATCGGAGCATATGAAACCCTCCAAATTCAACCCTTGCTGCCCCAGCCAGCCCAGCTTTACAAACTATGCTTATATTTTCTGTTCTTTGTTCTTTCTCTCAGCCTCCTTATTTGGAAAGTTTTTCTCTTTCTGTCCACTTCTCTAAAACCTATTCATTTTCCAGCCTAGTTTGAAAGCCTCACTTTTCATGAAGGCTCCTCTGATTTCTTCCACACACATAGCTGCTCCTTTTTTTTATTTGATTGGTTGGTTGATTGGCTGATTGAACTTATTGGAGTGACACTGGTTAGCAAAATTATACAAGTTTCAGGTGCACAATTCCACACACATCATCTGTACACTGTCCTGTGTGTTCACCACCCCAGGTCAAGTTTTCTACATGTGGTGGGGAAAGTGGCTGAGCTCAGATTTGGAAGATGCAGGTTTGAATCTTAGCTCTGTCAGTGGTTAAATGTGTAACCTTAGAAAATGAATTTAATCTCTCTGAAAATCCCTTTTCCTGTCTAATCTTTAATTTACAAGTTCATTGCCCTAAGAAAATAGCAAGTTCTTTGAGGTCAAAAATTGTTTTTTGTTTTTTTTTTAACATCTCCCAATAGAATGTAATAAACACTTGTTGAATACTACTTAAGTTCTCAAATTTTCTTCCTTTTGGCCTCCTTTATTTCTTTCCTCTCTCTCTGACATTAAAAAAAAACCAAACTACCCAAACACTACCCATAACCTGGTATCCAATCTGCACATTTCTTCTAGAAATAGTTATTGAGCATTTAAAATGCATGAAATCTGTGCTAGGCGAGGATGTCCGTCCCCTGCCCTTAGGAGTCATTCTAACAAAAAGACAGACTCATAAATAAATAACCATTACATAGAATTCTATGCAACAATGGAATGTAAAATGCTAAATTTTAACTTGAAGGAAAAGCCAAAAAGCCCCGCAGAGAAAAACGACACGGCATCCTCACTTTATGTCTTTTTTACTATGAATTTCACCCTAAAGTGACTTCAAAGGTTGAAGACAGGGGAGCCTCGGCGTTATTAAAAATAAAAGCTTTTCCACCAAACTCATCATTAAAGGAATTTAGAACTAATTATGAGGTTTGGTCTAAGAAGGCCTGTAGCATCTCAAGAAGCAGGAGGCAGGAGCGCTGGCTTTGGAGCGGGTGAATCTGGAGTTTGCTAGTCAGTGATTCTGAGATTCTGCACGTTTTCTGTTCTGAGGCTCTTTTCCTTCAAAAGCAAAATGAGATCATAATATCTACTTCGAAGGGGTGTTGGAGGATCAGATAGTCCATGTTTGTCAAGCACCCAGTGAGGACTTGGTAAATGGTAGGTAGCATTATTTTAGAGACAGAAAAATGTTGCTTTGCCTATTTCGTTGAACACAACCCCTGAGATTTTAACATGGAAAAAAATAAAGGGTAGTTGTAATTATTAAGACAGAATAAAAGAATCTTACCTGGCACTTTTCACAGCAGTCTCCTAACGCACATTGGAAACCTGCCTTGATTTTACATGTCTTAGCGTCACAGCACAGGTCGGTGCATTCCTACAAAACACCAGAAACAATTGCAAAGGCCCAATTACTTTTTGGTCTCATTTCAGCACAATGCATAACATAATTTGCTCACCCACAGACTTCACTTTGGTATAGTCTGAAAATAATTTTCAGGAAAATAAAACAACAACAGCAGCAAGGCTTAACATTAGAAAAGCTGAGATTTTAGAGCCACCAAGGGTTTGTTATTTATCTGAATTCTACTTACAGTTTTAAAATTTGAATATCTTTTTTTCACTCACCCAGTTTCCCACAATAATACTGAAAATATGAGAGCAAACAAAAAGACAAAGGACGGTTTTTAAAAAATAAAATTTATCTAACTAGAGAACATAATTAGTTCAACTGATGAGTTTTGTATCTACTCAGCAGTAAATTTAATCTCTAGAACATGTAACTGTGAATCTAAAAATACAGTTTTTTATTCAATGTCGACATTTAATTCAGCTCCGCATAAAGCGATTTGCTGTATTTCGTTCTCCTTGCCTTATTTTTGAGAAGCAGGCCCCTTTCTGGTTGTAGCATTTTACATTCCCCAAGAAGAATGATATTTCAGAATTACAATAGTTAGGGTTAAAATTCTTGCCCTTATTTCAAACATAAATATCACCTGAGAAAGATTACTCTTTCTCATAGAATGAATAAACCTGTGATCCTGTTTGAAGTTTCGGAGAAGCTGGGCCCCCAAGGGCTTGACATGTTGCTTATATTAAGCGTTAATAAGATGGGGACAAGGGTCCCATTCAGAACCCTGGCTGCCAGGTGAACAAGGTGGGATCAGGCCAGGCACTTCTAATGGTGACAAGTCCTGAGTGGCAAAGGGATAAACCGGGCCGGGTGCTGGTGGGATTGCCGGAACAGCACCCCGAATCCACATCCTAGCGCCTTCCTTTGCCTGCATGGTGACCCTGGGAGGCCATTCCCACCCTCTGAGCACTGTCGCGGTGCGCTGTCTACAGCAACCGCTCAGGAAGTCCTAGGCTCATAAGAAATGTGAGGTACCTCTGACAGAGAGGGAGGGGTGCAGACACAAAGCCCAGGCCGGTGAGTGGCACTTAAAAAACTACATATGGGGAGGAAACCCCAGGAAGCTCTGTGTCAAGCACTGCAGTGTCCACTGTCAGAAAAGCTGACCTCACGAGTATTTACAAATGAATATAGAGAAAAATCACACGACACGTGAAATTTCAGAGTGAACCACTTTATATAGTTTTTAAAAATACGGCTCAAATGTGTTTTATTTTAGTTTTTAATTAAATTTATCGGGGTGACATTGGTTAATAAAATTATACAGATTTCAAGTGAACAAACACCATCTAGTTTTATAGTTTATCTTCTTGGCAATTGGAAAGCAAACTAAACTTTTTTATAAAGGACTCGGTCATACCTCGGAAGTCCCACAATCACAGTCCTCTCCTGTTTCTACCAACTGGTTCCCGCAGATCGGGGAGGATATGATAT